CACCGGAGCCTTAACACCTTCAAGATCCTCCCTCGTGACCATGGTTCCATGTGCAACGGCACCCGCCTTGAGGATTGGCTCCTTTTTGACGGCTCCTTGCTCTTCGTCCTTCGGTTGTGTTTGAACCACTGTGGGATCCTCGCTGTCTCCCGCTAATATCAAAATGTATCTTGCACCAAAGCAGTATCCCACACCGTATATTCCGCCTCCATTCGCAACTGCATCCGCAAATTCCTCCTTGGCTCCCTCAATAACCTTATGCAACAATGGCAACACTTTCTCTGGAGTATGTCTTGCGAGCCACATATCAATCATGAAGCTCTTGATTCCCTCGGCAGTCTTCAACTTGAAGGTATCAAGCCACGATGTATCTTGTTGCACTTCGGCCATTTCAACAGTATTGGGTGCCGGATCATTATTGAATTGGTCCGGCACGACAACAATGTAGCCTTCCGAGGCGTATTTGTCGGCTTGAAGTTGATTGTTGACCGACTTATAGCCTGTACCACCAGTGAGGAGGAGAAGGAGTTTGGAGGGTGAGTGTGGGTAATCGACGGGCTTGGTGATATAGCAGTCTATGCCACCAAGCTGAGAAAGATCGCCGGTTGGCTTCTCGCCTGAGGGTGCTGGACGATCAGTTGTACAGTGCTCCTGTACGATCGCTCCATCAGTATGTATCCATAACAACACATTGCTGTTATGCTAACTTACACCCATGCTTGGTCCTTCTTGCGCTCGAGTATCGCCAGGAAAGACGCTTTGCTCCACGGCTGAATCAGCGGGTTTCTCTTGTGCATCGCTCTCGGGTGCTCGCGTCGCATTATCGTTGTCTGCCATGATTGTCTGTATATTGTTGTGTATGTTTCGTAGAGCGTGGGATGAATATGAGTGGTGAATAGCTAGCTGTTTGTAGATTGGGGGTCCAAGCCTATTACGTATGGTTCCTGCGACTGCGGGGCAAAGTGCATCACGTGCAAGACGCGTTGAGCGCGTCCTGCAGGCGTCAATCTCCTCAGCACTTGGTAACAACGCCACCCTTTGCACCTCAATACTTCAACAACTATAGTATAAAGTCATCATGGCGGAACAAGCCATCACCCAAGGCGCCATCAAGCAAGAATATTGATCTTTTTCTTACGAGCTGACACTAACATGAAGCAGGAGCATTTTTGAGCCTGGAGGCTTCACCGACCACCCCGTGCTACAATGCGTGCAGATTAAGACGATGGAACCCAAAATGGGCGATGGAAACCCAGTGCAGCGCTTCCGTGTTGTACTGAGTGACATTCGGAATTTCATCCAAACCATGATTGCAACCAGTACGTTCCCTGTGCCTACATGAGGGGCTATATTGATCGCATGTAGCTGCAAATGATATTGTCACATCTGGGCAGCTGAAAAAGGGCTCCATAGTTCGCCTTCTAAAGTACAATCCCCAGCTAGTCAAGGACAAGAGGTAAGTAAAAGATGTCACATACACTCACACTGGGATTCCTAACAAACAATAGCATCCTCATCATCATGGAACTAGAAGTCCTAGCACAGTACGGCGAGCTAGACAAGATTGGACAGCCAGAGGCGCTCGACGCCAAGCCCGACCCTCAACCTGCCGCCATCACGGGTAACAATTTCTATGGGTCAAAGCCAGCACCAGCACCAGCACCCGTGCCTCAGCCTCAACACAGTCTTCCCGTTCATCAGAGCAACCCTGCAACATCGTCACATCCACACATGTATCCAATTGAGGGTTTGTCGCCTTACCTACATAAATGGACTATTCGTGCAAGGTGCACAAACAAAGGAGACATGAAGGAGTGGCACAATCAGAAGGGTACTGGAAAGCTTTTTAGTGTCAACTTGCTCGACGACACGGGCGAAATCCGAGCCACTGCATTCAATGATGCTGCTGAAAAATTATATCCAATCTTCGAAGTAGGCATGGTTTACTACGTCTCTGCACCCTGTAGAGTTACGCTCGCGAAGAAGCAATTCTCAAATTTGCCCAACGACTACGAATTACAGTTTGATCGTGATACTGAAGTCGAGAAAGCAGAAGACCAAGACAATAAACCTCAGATACGTTTCAACTTTACGAAAATCGGTGACCTTAACTCGGTTGAGAAGGATACTACGATTGATACTGTGGGCGTTTTGAAGGAAGTCGCTGAGGTCACCACGATAACGTCGAAGAACACGAATAAAGACTTCAGTAAACGGGAGCTAACCTTGGCAGACGACAGCCAGACATCAGTACGGCTCACAATCTGGGGCAAAACTGCAGAAACCTTTGATGCTCAGGTCGAATCAATCATTGCATTTAAGGGGGTCAAGGTGTCTGACTTTGGCGGACGAAGTCTTAGTCTGTTGAGCTCAGGCTCCATGATGGTCGACCCAGACATTGATGAGGCGCACAAGTTACGAGGGTGGTTTAACGCTGTTGGCCAGAATGCCACCTTCTCTACGCATCAAAATATGGCAACTGGCTCTGGTGGTGGCGGGAAGAATGAAACCAAGCTCATTTCTCAAGTAATTGAGGAAGAAGCCTATCTCCAAGATACACCCACATACATGGGATTCCGAGCTTCCGTTACGTTTATCAAGCATATAGGCTCATCTCCGGTCGCTTACCCGGCGTGTTCGACGCCAGGGTGCAATAAGAAGGTGATCCCGAATGAAAAGGACTCTTATTGGTGCGAGAACTGCCAGACCAGCTTCCCTGAACCCAACTATCGCTACGTTCTGCAGGTCAACGTTGCAGACCACACAGGTTCAATCTGGTTGAGCTGCTTCGACGAAGCTGGACAAACGATTGTCGGCATGTCTGCCAACGAATTAATGAAGATTCAAGCGCAGGATGGGGAAAATGATACAAAAAACTTTGAGGATGCCATGCGCGATGCAACGTGCAAGACGTTTAATTTTAGGATCCGGGCCAAGATGGAGACATACCAGGATCAACCTAAGTAAGTTTTTCTCGTGGAGTCTTCTTTGGTGCACTTCTAATTGACAAAGGCCTCGATACCAAGTCATGAATTTGCACCCACTCAACTATGCGCAAGAAGCGCATAAACTCGCTCAGCTTATGAAGCAGTATGATATAAACCAAGATAGTTTGTTTGTGAGCTGAGCGTAACTGCCAAGGTACTTTGAGCATCTTTGCTACCGTTGCGCACTTGAAGAATCCCGTAGGTACCTGGGTAGATACACAAGCATCCTCGGCTGGAAGCGCTGGCCATGAGTTGCCAACTCACAATATAGGATGATGCATTAAAAATCCTACCCACCTTCGCTTCGAATACATTCTGAATCTATCTCCTCGGTCCTTTGATGCACAGATATAACACCCCACCAGAGCTCAAGCTACCCCGCCCACGTCATTACAAATCATTATATTGATGTTCAAAATGCCTCGGGAAGAAAACGAAATCCTGGCTTAATTTAAATTCTCCTCTTCTATGTCTCACTTTGCATAACTACGATTATTTACCATTGATCCAATTAAATTGCTAAGGTTCTTTACAACATGGGTGACACGATGCGTGCAATAGGTTCGTTCAAGTAGCAATTCCTCAACCGTACCACCTCTCACCTTTTGAAGATATAAAAAATGGTAAAGGTCCAATCGAAGCACTGGAGATCACCGATGTTCCCAAGCCGAACCTCAGTGCCTCACAAGCCCTCGTCAAAATCAAAGCATTTGGGCTAAATCGCATGGATTTGCTACAGCGCGCGGGACAGTATCCTGTGCCACCTGGAGCCTCGAAGATACTGGGTGTTGAATTTTCTGGCATCATCACAGAACTGGGTGAAGAGGGTGGTGGGAAGGAAGGTTTCAAGGTTGGAGACGAAGTATTTGGGTTAGCATATGGTGGTGCATATGCAGAGTACATCGCAGTATCTACGCACATGTTAGTCCGCAAACCAATTGAACTAACCTGGGAACAATGTGCTGGAATTCCTGAGGTACGTCCTATTTGCTACTCATACTCTGTTAGCATCTCAAACTCTAACGACATCACCATAGACATGGATAACGGCCACTCAAGCCATGTACCTGGTCGGCAACTTCGCAGCTGGCAAAACCATTCTTTGGCACGCTGCTGCATCCTCAGTCTCAATTGCCGGCATTCAACTCTCTCGCGCTGACTCTGCTGCTGCAGTCTATGCAACAGCACGCCAGGACGCAAAATGCGAGTTTGCAGTAAAGGAGCTTGGTGCAGACGCTGCCTTCAATACCACTAGCCAAAACTGGGTCGAAGAAGTCATGAAAAAAACAGACAACAAAGGCGTCGATATCATTATTGATTTCATGGGTGCATCCTATTTCCAACAGAACCTTGATGCTATTGCGAAGGACGGTGTGATTGTCAATCTGGGCTTCATGGGGGGCGTAAAGCTGCCAGAAGGTACAGACCTTAGCGCATTTATTCGCAAGCGATGTACTTTTGTGGGAAGCAGTTTGCGAAGCAGGGACGAAGAGTATCAGGGTAAGCTGAGGGATCAGCTTGTAGAGCATGCGCTTCCACGACTCAAGGATGGTAGATTCAAACTGTTTGTTGATAAGGTGTTGCCATGGGAGCAGATCCAGGATGCGCATCGGCTGTTGGAAGAAAACAAGACCAAGGGAAAGGTTATCTGTACGGTAAAATAGTCGTAGTTTATCTTAGTAGATTCGAAGCGAAATCACGCTTAAGATTCTACCTTTACCGGGAGTGACGCTACATGTTGGAGTGAAAAATAGAAAATTGGGAACGACCGCACCTATACTACGGCATCACTCACGAGAGATCTGAAGATCTTTAAATGTATCACGTGGTAAAGAACGTTTATTCTGTATTTAGAAGCAATTACTAACCGTACAGTTCTGATGTTCGTGGCCTTGGTACCATGAAAAATACAAGGTTTGCGTGCAGTTATCCGCCCACGTGACCGCACCCAAAGAAGGTCTAATACCTAACTTCGGACTGTGATTCGAAAGAAAAAAAAGAATTCATGAGAAGCGACGTGGGCAGGACTTGAACCTGCGCTCCCGAAGGAACAAGATTTCTAGTCTTGCGCGATAACCACTCTGCCACCACGCCTGATGAGTGAATTGATCCAGTATAGACCGATTGATGGTGGTTTGGTACTCCAGTTAGAATATATTCTACACAGCATTGCTGCTTAAGTAGAATGATAGCCGGGCTTGCTGAAACTAGAAGATATTGTTGGGTAATCGCCTGGTGCGAAGTATGTGGACCAGGCGGAGCGGTGTGGGTAGTCTTAGTGGTTCGCTTGGGCAATAGGGGCCGGGGACCCGGACAATGAACTGTGCCCCTAGAAGTAATAGCTCCGTTGGGCTGATTAAAATCCGAGGTTGGCTTACTGCTCAACGTATATATACATAGTTTGGGAGACTGTGTCTTGACTCTGACTTGTGATCATATTATTATTGCATCAACAGCCATCAAATGAATACGCACACCAACAACAAGAGTACTCTTCTTTTGGCCAGGTTTTGAAGATCTGGCGCAGGGATGTGTCATTTGATGTGGATTGTATTAACCCCACGATTTTAAATAGACTAGTAAGCAATGGGTATCTCACAATACTCTACAACCCAATCGACCGACCAAATACGCAACCTTATTCTCCAGCAGCTCGGGCGTTGCTCAGGTGTACCACCTGCCCCAACCCTGTACTTCCACCTTCTTTCTTCCAACCCTGCACATCGTCGCTATTCTTACTTTTAATCACCTCCCATGGCGGAGGAAAGCCATTTCTTACTCCTCCAGGCTTGTTTGCACCTTGCACAGCCACCTTCATCGACTTTTGACTAATGTACCCGTTCAGAAAGCCTTGTGTGATCAAACTGCCACATATACACTCCATTTCCAGAAGATCTATTTCGTGATTATAGGGCTCAAGGCCTTCTACGCCAGCAAAATCAGGATCTATGTATGTTGATTTTGTCGTGGACTCATGGTCAAAGAACAGGTGACCGAAGTTACGTCGTCCAGGTCCTTGGTCTTGTGCAGCCATGGCGGGGTTTTTTATCTTTGCGCGCCGTTCGAAAAAAAGAAACGCATGTAAAAGGGCATTTAGGTCGAGGGATGATGCCTTTTGTTCTGTTTTGCCTGCGGTATTCTGTACGGCACCGAGCACTTGCTGCCCAGCCAAGAGAAAAACTTTCCGAGCCAACGATCGCCAGACCAGGACTTCGCAGTAGTTGCCGATTTGATAGAAGATGCGATAGTGCAGTAAAAAGTCTGCGCTTTGATGGGTGAGATCAAGGTTTGTGATCCTACGGAATGTTTCGAGGTCGCCTTTGCGAATAGCTTGGGTGAGTGGCATGAAAGCATCGCGAAAGCCGCGTGCTTCTTGAAGTTGATATATATTTTCCGTAGGAAAGCGGCCCAGAATCAGGTTGGAGGCAACAAGATACACCAGAATCAAGCGGCGCTGTTTGAAGCACTGGGAATGAGCAGAACAATGTTCCCACGCCTCTTGCAAAACTAACTGGGCTGAATAGAATTGGGTGTTGGCAAATTGATAACGGCCTAGGTAATAGAGAAATGTCACACGTTCGGAAGCAGGATAAATCCGAAGCGGTGGCGATGAGTTCATAATATTCCTGAAAATGGTTTCGCAACTTTCTGGTTTGTCCGCCTGGAGGAGAATACGTAGACATATGTTCGCCATCTTGTATATTCCAACTTTCTTTCCATCTGGCTTACCATCTCTTATACCTCCAGGCACAGTATTGCGGTCATTTAGGCAGATGATGAAAGCTTGACGAACAACATTGGCTGCCTTCTCTGGAAGCGATTCTCGCTGGCCCTCGTCGTTCATGGATTCTTCAATCAAATGTTGAATAAGTTCAGGCTGCTTGTCTAGACCGACAGCTACCTTTGCAAATACCTTGGAGTAGGATATGATTGTTGGAAGCATGAGGATGCCCTTTGTAGGATGTTGTAATGCACTGTTCGCTTGCCTATATGTACTCAGTATCTGGGCTGATGCCCAGCAGCCATTGCTATTGCAGTAGGGATAAACTTACTGCAATAGCTCATTTAACCGTTGATAGACTTGAAGTAAATTGTTGGGGTCCACATCTCTCAAGAAAGCCATCCATCCAATCAGGAAGGTAACCATTGAACCCCATGATTGCACAGGTCTTCCTTCATTATCTTCAGACTCTGCTGTTTCGGAAACGACTCGTTTAATAAGCTGTTCAAGTCGCTGTTCGGAGCTGCTGTCATTCTCTGGGAAACTGGTTTGTAATGACTTGATAAGTTCTTGGTGATCTGGTGGGTACTCGGGCTCGATAATCACAATGTCCCTTAATTGATTTGCTTCCCAAGCATGTATAGCATTGTTCAAAGCCGTACACAGTCTGTTTTCCACGTTATTCTGCTTCTGAAAGGCATTCATAGTTGTTGAGCGGTTAATGTTGTGATGAACTGTGAGTTCTTTGAGCAGTCTAGTCCGACGACACTAGGGCCTAAATTTAGCGTCAGGTCCCAGCGTCCTCGCTTACACCACGCGTCGCGTATCCCTGCCCTGTCATAAACTTTGCTAGGTATCAGCATTCGCACGTGCTAAGATGTGTATTTTGTGAAGTCTGCTTGAAATAGGTGATACAAGAGCAATGGACATTACAAGAAATGGTACTAAATGGGAGTAATTCAGCACAACAATGACCAGCAAAAAAAAGTGGATTCAGCCAGTCAACTTGCAGCGATATCATGTTATCTCAATTGTAAAGTGCAATACATAGGTCCACTACATGTTCAATTCATTACTCATCATCCAAATCATCGAAAGCATCAAAAGTCTCCCGCTCCTGGGACGGGATAACAGCAGGTCTTGGAACAGATGGTTGCTGTACCTGTGTTTCTGGAATCTGAGCCTCTACCTGTGATGCTTCTGGCTTTTCTTCTGTAGATATATTTTTATTCTTCTCTGTCTCTTCATAGGCATAAATGTTGAAATTGTCTGGATCTTTGCCCTTTGCCTGCCAGTACATGAGTTTGTAGAGGTTGCCAGTCCGGATCTTGTCATCGCTAGGCCACGGATACCAAGCAATTTTGCTGTCATTGAGCTTCTTTAACCACTCTTCTTCTTCAGCAGTGATCTCTGCAGGGCCACTGTTGGGGACTTGTCCTTCTTGTGGTTCTTCTGCAGTGCTTTTTATCACGTCCATGATGTCCAGTGCATTTGCAGGGGTGCTGACGCCATTTGTGGGGGCTCCACTGGATGCTGCATCTTCTTTGTCTTGGTCCTTGTCAGAGCCTGTTTGTGGGGCGCGCTCGCGGTAGGTGGGTGGGACAGTATGGTGGGAGATGTTCTTTGCATACTGCAGAAGCTCGTTGACAGGGACAGGTTGCGCATCTACCGGTAAAGCGGTAGCTGGGGTCTCGAAGAGGTCATGTCGCAAGCTTGCCAGGGATGTGACGGATGACTTGAGTTGCTCTTTGAGAGCTTCGGCCTCAGCGCGCAACGACTGGATTCGGGCATGATTTGCTTGGTGGCGGGCAACTGGGTGGAATCAGTAGGTGTTGGTGATAAGAATACGCCGGTATGTGTTGCATGGTGACTTGCGTTGGTCTAGGCCTTGGCTCAAATGGTCGTCAGCTGCCACGAGGTCAATGGCAGCCTGTGGCGATGGGTTGAAGGCAGCAATCGAATCCACCAGTGTGCTTAGTGCTTTTTCAACGCGATCAAACTGGCTTCCTAGGATAACCTCCATGGCGGTGGTGGTAGTGGTAGTGGTAGTGTGTGGTGTGTGATAGAGTAGCTAGCTACTTGGGTACCTAGGTAGTAGGTACCAAGTGATATGTGTCACGTGATAGACACTCAACGCAGTGATGCGGCGTTGTGATGAGCAGAGCATAGCCTGACGAAGACGGCGTAGGGCTAGAGATGCGGGCGCCAAAACCCGGGACCTGGGTGGTCAGCTATTCTAGGCCTTTTCATGGTAAAAGTAGCAGTGAATGGTGGACGCATGCGGGCCGCATATGCACTCACTTCTGCTGACCTACCTACCTTGCACGGAGGATCCCTCTGTATACGGGGACTCGGCCGCGCGCTCCATGATCAGCCGAGCTGTGGTTGCAACGTTAGCCCTGAAACTCGTGCACTGCTAGTCAATCTACTGTAATAGTACAAAAACAGACATTATCACCATCATTGCCTATTCGTAGAGCCGCACTGCTGCGCCCCGTTTTTGCCCATAGCACATTGCCACCACCACCACCCCGCCATATCTCGGTTTGTTTTGCTCTGTCACCCCGCCACCCACTTAGCCTAGGTACCACTCCTCTGTACATTCAGCTATCCACAGTTTCGCGGGGCACAACTCGCCCATACCTCATACCTCATACCTCATAAACTTGACAAAACACTTGCACCACGCCTGTCGTCCTATAATCCCCATAACCCCATCCAGCTCCTTTTGTAATCGGCCATGGGTAAATCGTAAGTTGTCTTTCCTTACTCTTTGTTCGTTTCATTATACCCGGAGCCTCCCTCCCCTCCCAAGCATTCCCAACATTCGCGCCTGATCAACCCTACCCTCGACCGGCCCGTTTTACGACACACGATAGGAAAACAACCGAAAATACCAATCCGGCGAGCACGCGCATACAGATTTGTAGCAGCACATGGCGCTCGATACTTCAGGCGGGTGAACATCATTCGCCCCCCGACTGCAATTCCTCGGACGCCTCGGCATAACCTCCTACTGCGAAACGCCATCATAATCATACCCATAACCATGTTTTTACAAATGCTGCGCGCAATCTACCCCACGTACTTGAGAATGCGACACTGATTGTGTCCCATTATAGCCAGAGCAAGCTGTCCCAGCAGGAACTGGCCGATCTACAGAAAGCAACCCATTTCGACAAGAAGGAATTACAGCAATGGTACAAAGGTGCGCACAGTGGATCTGGGTGTCACGCGATTTATGTCTAAGAACAAGCAGGTTTCCTCAAGGATTGCCCGTCGGGTATGCTTACCAAGGAGGAATTCCAGAAGATCTACAAACAGTTCTTTCCGTTCGGTGATCCGTCATCATTTGCAGATTATGTCTTCAACG